GTATATACTGTATATACTGTATATATGCCCGGCGGGCCACACAGGAGTCACCCGTGGGCCACATTTGGCCCGTGGGCCTTGTGTTTGACACATGTGCTTTAGAATCTGATGTTGAGACTAAATTTTGATTTTTGGAGATTATTTGTCTGTATTTGTTTTTAAGTGGGTTTATCTCCATTTCGCTTAGGATTCAGAAAGTGGTTTARTTAAAGTCTAGTGGTGTTTGTATCTGGGTCATTTCAGAAGATGTTTCTTTTATTTTCAGGGAAGCTGTTGGAGTCTGAGACTCATAAAGCTCTGGTTTCTTCAGCTGCATGTGAGACGAGTTATTTATCTGAATCAGAGGCGGGAGTTCCTGTCACACTGCAATTCATCTCTGCTGTCAACACCACACACACAAACATCTGAACATACGCACACACACAGAGAGAGAAGATTTCCTCTTTTACCACACTTGAAACACAAAAACTCTTTTTTTCTGCATCTGAAGATCTGACTCTAAAAATCTAGATGACGTTTGAAGAGAAACATCTGGGTGTTTCTGTAAAAACTTGGCACTGATTATTTTTACACCGACATGTTACTTCATCAGATTTTCAGTCTGTATTTCTACAGTAGGGCAGTTTTCAACCCAACAGCAGCTCAGATGTGACCCGGGTCCTGGTTCTKTTAGCAGAACACCTCGTTAGCATAAGCAGGACGGCACTGTTTGTCAAGAGGCGCTGTGTTTAAACCAATAAACTGATGAGTTTAAAGAGATCCAAGAGAGTTCAGGTTCTGAGTTCAAGGAAACATTCAGAAGACTGGATCCATCAGATAGACTCAGACCTCCTGGAGCTTCAGAACAACTCAGAAACCCAACAGAACCTGTGTCTCCATTAAGAACTGAACTCTGATGAAATTCACACAAACTGTAATATATCTCCCCCTAGACGAGCACCAAGCGTTAGACCCAGTCCTGTTTGGACCTACAGAACCATCGGTTCAAACAGAAAGGTGGACTTTAAATGACTGAGCAGTTGGTTTCAGAACTTCAACACCTTTTACACAAACAGGTCCAGATGGAGGATATTACCTCAGATTGTTTRACTCGTAGTGTGATGATGTCATCAAAATTTCTCAAAATAAATCTTTTATTTCCACAAACGTTCCTCTTCCTCAGTGTCACTTCTATAATCTTCAGTTTTTTCTTCACTCAGAGTCTCTGCTGGAGGACTGATGGTTTCCTTTCAGAGGTCAGAGGTCACACACACAAACTCTTATTGACCTCCTTTAGATCTGAGCTTTCAAACAGGAAGTGAAGACTCTTTATCTTCTCATATCTCCTCCATAAAACACTGTAGAACTGTCAAACCTGTGGTACCATCAGAACCTTCTGCCACTCATGGATCAGGACGTTCTTCTGTCTTTTAGTTTTCATTCAGGGACTGTTTGTCTGAGGCTTACTTTTTACTCTGCAGTTCTGCCTGCAGTGATGTTCCTCCATGGGAAGATTAAGTCCAAAAATGCATAAAGCAAACAGGAAGAGGTTTTAACCAGAAGTTTCAAAACAAATTTCATAGAAACTGGCTCTAGATGTTGGAGTTCTGGTGCGTGTACACCAAACACCTTTTGAGCATCAAAATCACATCCAACGCTTGAAGTTGGACACTTGTGCACGATGCATGTTTTCTTGTTTTCCCCTCCTCTGCCGATCTCTGTTTAATGGTGGATGAAATAAAGAAAGTGGCTTTGCTTTATTTACTAACAGCAAAAGCACGCCCTGCTCACGAGGTAGTTAATTCATAATTAATTTACCAGAAAACTGAGACGTTCTGAGTTTGGTGAGTTTCACCACCCAGGAGCTGCGTACTAACGAGGCTCACTTTCAGAACTATTATTGTCCCGAACCCAGTTTGATGAGTCGCTGGCCCGCATCGGTGTTGATATCTCCTGCCAGGACACCGACTTCAGGCACTTTATTTCAGCTAAAGAGCTCCTGTCTATTTGTCTCAGGTTCATGGACATCATTCAGCAAAATGTCCCGTCGGAAAACATGCCACTACGTCACACAGTGCAGTCTCTCTTATTGGTTGACGCGCCGCGTCGAGCTACAAAAGTTTAGATTTTCCGACTCTAGCGGATGCGCTTGATGCGCGTCGAGAGCATTAAAAGCTCAAATCGCTCAAAACGCACTAGACGCCCCACAGCACTTCCCGATGCGCGTCCATGTCTAAAAACGGCATTAAAAAACCCTAATCAAAAAACTGTGATTGTTCTTAAAACCAAACCACAGTCCGATTCTGAAAGCAGACATGAACTGATTAGAGGTCCAAACGTGACAGAAATATTTATCGATGGGAGTCTGACGGAGCTGGTTATCACAGTAAACAATCTATGGTAAGTAGGTCCACCTCAGGCCGTAACACGGTGAGAACATGAATTATTCCAACAGACCGAAGGGACTCATGGTTTTAGGTAGATCATCAGATCTTCAGCTCCTGCTCTGAGAGGAAAACATTGCCTCAGTCATGATGCAATCAGCCTGGTGTCGGGAGGCTTTGTTGTATTTTACATGACTGAAGAGTGGGAATTTTAATTTTACACACATTTAAATCAGAAACCTACAAATACAAAAACACAGATCTGAGGAGCTGAAACATTAGATTCACCTTTCCTCTTCTGTAAAACAAGGTTTTTAACAATTAAAGGTCCAGGAGTATGTCCAAACCAAAACCAACATAAACACAGAACAGGATCATAGGTACCAACAGAACTGGAACCAGAATTAACGCAGCCTGGATCAACAGGACCAGACTCAAGAGCAAAGCCTGGTTCTGGTCTCAACATCTTACAGTTGTTAATGTAACAGATTCTCCAAGATCAGATTTATAATTAGTTCAAACTGGGTCCAACAACAGGTCTACCTAAAAGAAACCAAACCAGTCTGAGACCAATCTGATTAGGTCTACCAAAAAGGAACCACAGTACAAACTGGTTTTGTTTAAGTCCAGTCAGGCTGGTTGGGGGTTTTCAGAATGTGATGGTGTGAAGTGGACTCTCAGACTTCAATGTTGAAGATAATAAATCTGAAGATATTTATAAGCTTTAGGATGACGTTGAAATCAGAACCTTAATAAACAGATCTTTTTCTTCTTCAGTCCTGCAGGACTTAGCGGGACCCCCATCATCTCTGACATCTCTCTGATCCGCCTCTCACCTGCTGCCGTGGCGGCCGGCGAGTCTCCATTCAGCCCGCCTCACCCGTACGTCTCCCCCCACATGGAGCACTACCTGCGCTCGGTGCACAGCAGCCCCACTTTGTCCATGATCTCAGCGGCCCGAGGACTCAGCCCTGCAGACCGTGAGTCCACCGCAGTTCCAGGTTCTGGATCAAAAAAGGTTTATTGCTCCATTTTAAATATTCATCCATCATCTATACCAGCCTTTTCCTTTCAGGGTCACGGGGGTCACTGGTGTCCTTATCCGTTTTAAACAAATAAATTAAACTCTGGTAGAGTTTTAGTTTTTACATGTTCGTTTGGTTCAATGCAAACTTCTGAAGCCTTTTAGCACAGATCTCTGTTCAAATGTGTCATTTAATCAAACATTAAGCTTTTATGGTTTGAATTCATTTTACTTTAAAATCATGCTTTTGTATTTAATAGTGCTAATCTAAATCATATTTTATTCCTGTTCACTCATTATTCTCTGTTTGAATTTTCAGTGGTTTGCAAAAGTATTCATACCCCTTGAACTTTTCCATATTTTGTCACATTACAACCAGAAACATAAATATATTTCACTGGAATTTAATGTGAAAGACCAACACAAAGTGGTATACAATTGTGAAGTGGAAGCAAAATTTTACATGAATCAAAACATTTTTTACAAATAAAAAACTGAAAAGTGCGACGTGCAAAAGTATTCAGCCCCCTTTTCCCTGAGTGCAACCAATTGCATTCAGAAGTTGCCTGATGACTGCTAATGACTCAAAAGGGTCCACCTGTGTGTAATCTAATCTCAGTACAAATACAGCTGCTCCGTGACGGCCTCAGATGTTGGTTAAGAGAATATTGGGGAGCAAACAGCATCATGAAGTCCAAAGAACACACCAGACAGGTTAGGAATATGGTTTTGGAGAAGTTTAAAGCAGGCTTAGGTTATAAAAAGATTTCCCAAGCTTTGAACATCTCACAGAGCACTGTTCAATCCATCATCCGGAAATGGAAAGAGTATGGCACCACAGTAAACCTGCCAAGACAAGGCCGTCCACCTAAACTTACAGGCCGAACAAGGAGATCACTGATCAGAGAGGCAGCCAAGAGGCCCATGGTGACTCTGGATGAAATGCAGAGAGCCACAGCTCAGGTGGGGGAAACTGTCCACAGGACAACAATTAGTCGTGCACTACACAAATGTGGTCTTTATGGAAGAGTGGCAAGGAGAAAGCCATTGTTAAAAGAAAACCATAAGAAGTCCCGTTTGCAGTTTGCCAGAAGCCATGTTGAGGACACAGCAAACATGTGGAAGAAGGTGCTTTGGTCAGACGAGACCAAAATTGAACTTTTTGGCCACAATGCAAAACGCTATGTGTGGCGGAGAAAGAACACTGCACATCACTCTGAAAACACCATCCCCACTGTCAAATATGGTGGTGGCAGCATCATGCTCTGGGGGTGCTTCTCTTCAGCAGGGACCGGGAAGTTGGTCAAAGTTGATGGGAAGATGGATGGAGCCAAATACAGGGCAATCTTGGAAGAAAACCTGTTGGAGTCAGCAAAAGATTTGAGACTGGGGCGGAGGTTCACCTTCCAGCAGGACAACGACCCTAAACATAAAGCCAAAGCTACAATGGAGTGGTTTAAAAAAAAGAATATTCATGTGTTAGAATGGCCCAGTCAAAGTCCAGACCTAAACCCAATTGAGAATTTGTGGCAAGATCTCAAAACTGCTGTTCACAAACGCTCTCCATCCAATCTGACTGAGCTTGAGCTGTTTTGCAAGGAGGAATGGGCAAGAATTGCAGTCACTAGATGTGCAAAGCAGGTGGAGACATACCCTAAAAGACTTGCAGCTGTAATTGCAGCAAAAGGTGGCTCCACAAAGTATTGACTCAGGGGGGCTGAATAATTTTGCACATCGCACTTTTCAGTTTTTTATTTGTAAAAAATGTTTTGATTCATGTAAAATTTTGCTTCCACTTCACAATTGTATACCACTTTGTGTTGGTCTTTCACATTAAATTCCAGTGAAATATATTTATGTTTGTGGTTGTAATGTGACAAAATATGGAAAAGTTCAAGGGGTATGAATACTTTTGCAAACCACTGTAAATGTTCATTCGTGCTGGCTCAGTGGTTAGCACCGACGCCTCACAGCTAGAAGGTCCTGGGTTCGATCCCCGGTTTGGACCTGGGGTCTTTCTGTRTGGAGTTTGCATGTTCTCTTCGTGCTTGCGTGGATTTTCTCTGGGTACACCGGTTTCCCCCACCACCAAAAACATGTATAATAGGTTGCCTTCAGGTCCAGGCTGCCCTTGAAAAAGAGATCTGAGATTTCAACGGGGCTTGGCTGGTTAAATAGCAATAAATAAATAAAAAATTAAAAATATATAAATTAATAAATAAATAAAATGCTACTACTGCAGTTTCAAATAACTATAAAAACAAGATAAAAAGTAAAGTAAAAATTTCCTCAAACCTGTCTCCATCAGCAACACAGTACTGTCTTTTAGTATCAGAACATCAAACGATAGTTAAATTCTCTAAAAAAAATTAGTTTTTAGTTTGTGCTCCAACTAAAGAACTGCCCCATCCTGTTCTGCTCATAAAAAGGAGGGAATCACCATGGTAACCACTGACTCAGCAGATTTTAGGTCCCTGGCTTCACTGTTTCCTTCACGGAAACAAGTCCTAAATTGTGTCTTGGCTTCAAAGTGGTCATTTAAATTGTTCAATTTTTGTGCCAAACATTTCCTAATTTATTCTTGTTAAACTAAATTTTAACCTAAATTTTATTTTTTTTTATTTTTCCACTAAAAGTTAAGCAAAGGTTAGCTAGTCTTTAGTCTTCCACTTTTAGCATTTAGTTAGCCTTTCTTACTTTTAGCATTTACATAGCCTTTTCTACTTTTATAATTTAGCCAGGCTTTTTACCTTTTAGCGTTTAGCTAGCATTTGCTAAATTTAGCTGGTGTTCTCTCAGGTCCAGGCCTCCTGAGTTATTTTCCTCCTTTAATCTTCATCTCGCTCAGACACTTATTGGAGCCTAAAAGCTTTGGCACGTTATTGCTGGCAGACGGTAAAATAAGATTTATACCTCTTCCTGCTGCTGCACGCTGGTGTAATCCAGCTCTGAGTAAAGAGTCCTCATCAGGTYCTGGGACCAGGTCCCACATTGTTTTAGTACCAAAGGACAGTATCTGAGGAACTGGTTGTAAAATAAACTRTTTTCTCTATAAATCCTGGTATTTGTTTCCGAGATGAGACTCATTAAATCTTAGTGTTTACTCAAAGAATAAACTCTGGACTGAAAAGAACAGCAGACTATGGTCCTGAGGGGCTGAGATCAGGTCTACAGACCCCTGTGTTTATTAGAAACCACTCTCACCATTCTTGTATCCTGGTCTTCCCCTACAGTGGCCCACGAGCACCTGAAGGACCGCGGGCTGTTGGGACTTCCCCCTCCTCTCCCTCCAGCAGAGTATTACCACCTGATGGCCAGCCACCGGACCCCCTACAACGAGCTGCTCCTACAGGGGGCCGGGGCCGCTGCAGGGGCCCACCTGTCAGACTACATCGGTCCCATTGACGGTGAGAAAACAGGTTTCAGGATAAAACTTCTTTATTCTGAAACAAATGAACCAATCAGATCAGCGGGTCAGAGACTCGATTATTAATTGAAACAGGTTTTCAGGTCAGACTGAAGTCTAGTTAACAGACCGAACTGGACTCTGGGTCAGGTCCTGTAGACAAGGTTTCAGTGTGTTGGACCTGGACTCAGGGTCAGATCCAATAGAAGTTGTGAATAAGCCGCCCGTCGTGTCGTCAGCCTCCAGGCTGCCAGCAGAACCGACCCAGCTGGCCTGGTTCTGTAAACCTGTCAGAACCAGCAGTCCTGGAGTCTGAACAGGCTCCCAGTCCAAAACAAACATCTGGCTCAGTCTGAACCCGACGTCACACTGAAACATTCCAGAGACACAGAAACAGGAGAGCTGACAGAACCTTCAACCGATAAACAAACCCAACAGACCTGAGGTCCAAATCATCCCAAACTACTGCAGTCAGAACCGACTAACAGGGTCCAACCAGCACATTTCTGTTCTCACCTCCACAAACAGCTGTTTAGCTGCTCTAGAGCTACAGGTGTCTTACAAGTCAAAAATATTTAAGACAGCTGGCAAGCCTCACCCTGAAGGTTGGACTGTGCAATGAGCTCTATCTCAGACTCTTTAGCTGCTAGATTTCACTCAATCATTTCCAACCAATCAGATCTGGCCTTTCAAACGGGGGCGGGGTCTTAACGAGACAGGAGTATTTCAGACCAAACAGACAAAAAGCCTAAAAACATAAAATCCTGTGTTTTAATCTGGATTTCAGATTAAATCAGGTAAAAGAGCAAATCAGTCATCAAGGCAACATCCGATTTTATAAATAAAGTTTGGTGAGATTTTTTTAAAGCTTAGCTCCACAAAAACCAACATTCATCGACTCTCTGGATCCCTTGACCCCCCCACCCCCCCCACCCCCCAGCCTGGCTGCTGATATAAATCACAATGGAGGACCGGAGGGGGGGAGGAAGTGGAGCTGGGCTTTTCCATTGGTCCATTTATCAGTGGAAGTGGCACATTAATAAACACATCTCCCCAGAGGTGAGAGGAAGTAACAGAGATGAATACGGCTGCSAGCGCTGAACGCCGCCGTCACAGACGAGACAAAAAAAACTCACCTGATCGTCTCCACCTGCCCCCACCCCCGTCACCGACAAGCTGAGCTACGCCTGATTAAACGTCCAAATTAGTGTCCCATGACACCCCCCCACAAGCACGCTAATGTCTTCAGTAATAAACCTCCAGAGCCGAGACGTCCCCGCAGAAACCACCACCTATCTTTGTTACATCATCATTTAACGTCCATCCGTCCTGGGACAAGTCTCCATCAAGTCTCAGAGCTCTGTCCCAGAACTGGTCCCCATCAGCCTTCAGGCCTCAGAACAGAAGTCTCAGGTCAACTCTCTGTCAGGTCTCAGGTTTTACACTGAGTCACCGTCAAGTCTCAGGTTTTAGATCAAGTCTCTCTCAGGTCTCAGGTTCCAGAACAAGTCTCTGTCAGGTCTCAGGTCCCAGATGAAGTCTCTGTCAGGTCTCAGGTGTGAGAACAAGTCTCTGCCAGGTCTCAGGTTCCAGATCAAGCTCTGTCAGGTCTCAGGTTCCAGAACAAGTCTCTGTCAGGTCTCAGGTTCCAGAACAAGTCTCTGTCAGGTCTCAGGTTCCAGAACAAGTCTCTGTCAGGTCTCAGAGCTAAAC